TGTAAATTAAAATTGTTATTTTACGGTGATAATCTTGTTTTCTTGTGCCCAATAATGCATAATTTCATTTGATAAACACGTTTAGATTGAATGGTAATTTATAATCAGTCACAAGAACGTCGAATCTGAATCACTTGAAAAAAACACGGAGGTGCTTAACTTTGTTCCAGGTGTATATATTTTCTCTCCAAGGGCATGACCCACTTAGAATTTGGATCTTGCTTAGTGGTGAGCATTGCCTGTCTAGGTATGCTTCCTATATCTCAAATCCACACTGTAAAGCCACAATGTATACCATGGCCTATAATGCACACTGTTGATATGGGGTGTTCCACAAGATCACAAGTAGGTTTTTCTTCACGATATATTTTCTGCATTAATATTCCCAATTCGGATAGTACTAACCCATGGACTTACATGGGTAAAGCAGAAGGGGATATCCATCTTCACGTTTGGTTTTATCCAATCCTTGGCAAGGAGATCAGGATTGTTCCAATATGTAGCTTCATTTCTGGTCTTCTCTGGGCTGGGGTTTTTTAGCTGATCGGCCTACTGTTTTTTGCATTTCAGAATTTCTTACTTGGCTTTTTTGAACAGGTATCCTCTGTCTCCTCAATTTCCAGTTATCGAGAAGCTTTATCCCACACCTACCATTTTTCCTTATACCATTTGAACCACTTTCCATGTGCTCCTTGTTTCACCTTTCCCTTAACACTTATTTCTTTCTCCTATTAGCCTGTGGACATCAGTTGTCTGATTTATTTGCCATCAATGTTTCACATACTCTTAAACATCCTACATATCTTCTCCTTTATCCAGATTGTTCTTTCCTCCCTAAAACCTCAATGGCTAGGGAGGGTAACTTCTTCATTTCACTGATTTCCCTTCCTTCCATTTCACATCTTTATCCTCAGTCTGTACATGCTCTTTGATGTCTGCAAAGCTTCCATCTGTGGTGCCTGTTCCCACTTTTTTATTCCTTGGCAATCATCCTCTGTTCATGATCTTTCTCTTTCCACGTTCCCCAATTGGTTTCAGCTTTTGGACTACACCTAATAAGTTTGTCTCTCATTATTTGCATAGGATCATCATTTCTTACTCTTTGGGATATCATCTTTTGCCTGTAGCCATTCTTCAGACTTCTGTGCGACTATAAGATTGGGTAGTTATATTTATTCTTTTTTAAAATTTTCAAGGATTTTATATCCCTTTTCATTGTAATTCTCATTGTTTGGATCCCACTCTGTGGCAAGTGTTGCCTGACCAGATATTCTTTAACCTTTAAAATCTGCACTGTTCAGCCATGTTAACACACTTAATGTGTTCCATGGCCATGCAGTGCACACTGTTGAGATGGGGTGTTCCACTAGATTGCTTGAAGGTTATTCTTGCGATAAAATTGCTTCATAAGTATGTCCGTCCTGGACCGTACCACCCATGAACTACAAGGTTAAAGCAGAAGGGGAAGCTGCCCATCCCTTTCATACTTTGTATTGAATAAATCTGTATGGTCTACTTTTAAAAATGGGGTTTCATGGTCACCAATTGCACTGTTTCAGGTGTTGATGTTCCTCTGGACTGTCCAATGTGTTTCACCTCCCCCTCCTTTTCTTTTAGTGGAGCCTGGGAGTCCTTACCACTTTCCAGGTCCAAGCCACTGGGTGTGGTGTATGGTTTAATAACATAAAATTTCAATACAGAAATACCATTCAGTGTAGAGTAAAGCGGTGGTGTTCTGCTGGTGTAGATGACGTGATAGCCTCGGCTCTAAAGCATATGTAAACCAAAAGAGTGAGACTTCAAATTGCTGTTCACCCCTTTGATTGGGATCCATCATCTTACCCCCACATAGATGTTGGTTCCCACTGGCCAGATTTTGGATTTAGAGTACAACCAATCAGCATAAGGCCTCATACATGTATTATGGATGTCTGTCTTTTCCCTCAACCATACTCCATCTGTGTTGTGGGTCATGGTGGAGGTATTTGGGATTGTTATGGTTCTTTCCCTTGTGCTCTCCCTCAATGTATCTTATTTCAAGGACATTATTGCACTGCGTTGGTTTTGATCAGTTTCAGTGTTTAGAGAGTCGATTTCTATGGTAAACATCTTTTTTATTCCGGATGTCAGGTTCCCGGATAGATATATCATTTTCTGTTCTTAATATGTGCCCTGTTCCGGAGTCATCACACTTAATATTAATGTTTCAATCAGTGAACAGATTCTTGTTGTGAACTATAGGTTTTATCCAGACATGAAC